CTGATACAACACATCTAAAAATTTAAATAAATGACATCCTTCTACTGATCACGTCAAATTTATGCCAGTAACTTTTACCTTTACTAAACAAAATGAGCCTATAGAGCTGTGTAGTCATATTTGGGCTGAAAACTAAAATTATAGTTAATTTGGGATTGGAAAAACTAGGCTACTCCAAGATCTTAAATTCGATCTGCTAGTACAAAACCTTCTAAATTTCTAAAAGACAATCATATAAATCTGTCTAGGAATGGATAATACAAAAAGCTCCTGATCTGACAAAAATGCCTCAGAGTATTCTACACCTAAAATTCTTATCTCCTGTTTTCTGATTATAGATTAAATGTTTTGGAGTGAACAAGATAGAGAGTAATTTTCAGATCACAACCCTCCCCATTTCTTTCCTGTTTATGCTCAAACACTCACCATTTCCATAACAAGCATGTTCTGAATTGCTCAGAGAAGATACAAAGCAAACATTTATAATAATCCTTATTTTACAGGTAGGAACACCAAGACAGAGAAAAAAATTCATTGGTTCCAATGTTACCTCTTATTAGAACTATGACTGGGTCCTTCATTTACTGGGTCCCACTGAGCAGCTGCCCCACTGCCTCCTTAATAATTTGGTTTTAGGGTTTATGTGTAAACACCAAACAGCTGGGCTTCCTGTTGGCTGTTCAGGATCTGACACCAAATTAAAGAGGACCCAAGTGCTGCACAAAGACTAAACAAGAATCAGTGGTTCTAACAAATGAATTGCTGTTGGCAGATTTCAGTGGAGGTGAACTATTCCCCTTAAGCAGAATGCAGTGTGGAAGTAAGGCAGGAACTGGAGTTGTTGGGTAACTGGGAGAATCTTCCCAGCAGAGAGCATAAGAAAGGGGAGAACAGGATGAAATTTCCCAAGAGAGAAACCAGAACCTCTGAGTGCAGCTTCAATCTGAGACCCCTTCACATTCCTGCTCCTCTTGCAGGCAGGTGGAAAGACTTTTGGTACCCACATGTACAGTCTCAAAGTCATTGCAAATGTAATTTACACTCCCTTAAGTGGAATGCAGTCTTAGCATAAATCAAGCTCCTTTGCACAAATCCCTGCTCTCTAGTGCATGTTGTTTGATTCTTTGTGCAGCACTAAATATTTCTAGAGCTCTGACTAGAATATCAGAAAGCTTAATTTATTAGTTTCTCTTGTATTTTGCTCACCATAAAATAATAGACCCCTTTTCTACTTTCCATCAGCTTCATCTGTTAATGTTTTTTCTCAGACTCTTCCCCCATAACATTCTCTTCTCATTTTTGCATGTATTTCTCATCTACTTTCATTATTTTCTCAATCACAACAAAATACTAATTCTAATTGTCTTACTACCCATGATTTTTCCATTCTCTTTGACTCAGACGTCTGAATTATAAGTGTGTTTTGCTAGCAGAATTGGACAAAAATCTCTTTACTTATGAAGTAAGGATTGCTTTCAGAAATTTAAGACATTGCCAGTAGCTCTGGACATAATCTGAAGAAGCTGACAGAGAACAGAGGCTGATACTGGTGCTGTACCTCCTCTGGTTCCCTGGCTTGGGGATTTAAGAGAACACTTCATGCAATTTTGTCTATGACTTGTACATATGTTCATAGCACTGGGAGATGGGACAATCCTGCAATGAGTGCAGACAACCTCGATTCAGGAGTGGATGTTGGCCACCTTGCATTGTTCTGCTATAATATCAAAAGGCTGAAAACTCAAGTGTTTCGACCTCAGAGCTTCCCAAATGGAGAATCTTGCAGTATGTCTTACTTTGTATTTTCCTCACTGTAGCCAGTATAAGGGAGGTGACTGAGTATAATTTAAAAGACCCAGTCAGGGATTTATCACTCAACTTGCTTTAACATAGACAGGTTTAAAACAGCCTCAGCTGTTCCTGAAATAAATACTCCTTGATGTGAAATAACTGTGGCATAACTGAGCTAACTGGATTTTCTGTAGCATTGTTGATGTATGCTAATTTAGATGAAGATGAAGAATGCAAGAGTTCCTTTCATATTTGCCCTCCTCAAAAAAAAGAAAAAAAAATCACTGTTTTTAAAACAACATTACAGAGCTTTATTCTTTAAATCAAAAAATTCTTAGTCCATCTAATACTTTGGCCACTGCTTCTTTCCTTCAGATGTCAGCACACCTTAACCTAAATCACTAGGTCTGTTATACTTTATGGTGCTACTGGAATGGAAATGTAGGTTCTAGTAGGTAAACATTCATTAACTACTTACCAGCAATCCTCAAAAAGGGCATCTTTTGGAAAGCTTTTATGACTTATCTTCCGAGATCACAAAGAAAAAGAAAACTTAAAAAACAAACAAAAAACCCCCCACCCCAGAATAAAAGGAAAAGGAAGCAAGACCTGCCAGAATTAGATCTCAGAAACAACAGCTGTCTCTAAAGATTTCCTTGCTTAGCTGCCCAGTTACACAGCTGTTTTGACTGGTTACAATAGTATTTTTCTCTTCCTATTTTATGATCTCTTGCCCTGATTAAGGGGGAACTCTTGGAATGGAGTTTCTCCTGAAAATCCTGGGAATCCCACATTTGAAATGGCAGTTCTGACAAGTGTTCCAAGCAGTAAGACACATTGCTAGGTGCTTCTTGGAAAGCAAGCACACAGGGGAGCAGAAAAAAAAATACTCAGGCACAAGTAAGATGGGCACAAAGAATACAAGTCCAGAATCAGTTTTTCTGAGTGGACTCTACATATTGTGCTCCAAAGAACTTTGTTTATAACACCCAGCTCTGGTGGTGTTAGCAGCATAACTGTGACAGCACAGATTGCCAAAACCCTCCCAAGATCCTGGACAGATGTTCTGATCAGAAACCTGTGACTCTTTTCCTGGCTGTACTTATCACTGCCCAAGCTGGTGCCTGGAATCAGGCACCCCTGCCCGGGATTCGCTTACACTGTGGATTCTCTATCAAGTTATACTTCATTAGCAGAAATACAAGTTGCTTTTATTCACACTCTAAGCAAAAGTGGAGTGAAACCTATCTATTTATTTACATTTAATTAAAGATATTAGGGTTTTAGATATCAAGAAGTCTACCTCTCTGTTTCATTGCTTCTACAGGTAACAGCTATATTGTTATTTAACTGTATTGATGTATACATAATAAGAGTTAAACTCACCTCATACTTTCTAAATAGAAACATTCTTGAATATATGCCAGAAACACATGTTCACTACCCTTTTAATGCCTCACTTGTTATTAGCCTCACAAAGCAACAGAAAGAGATCAGCTGCTTAATTTAGGAGGATGCTTTCTACCACTGTCTTGTATCCAACTGGGAATTAATCACAGAAACAGTCGAAAATATAGCATTTCTTATTAAACAGGTGAAACTACAGAAGCCAAACCACTACAGTTCTTAGCTGATCATAAAGCTTCAGGGATCCAAAGGGAATTGTATGCAACTTTTTCATATTACTAGAAGGGTTGTTCTGATGGGCCTAATGTTCCCAGCATGTTTCCACAATTTAAGTAGTACAGAAACATTTTTCAGTTTTCCTCACTGAAGTTCACACAGGTTTGTCCTGTCTTGGAACTTATGCAACTATCTCACCCATCTCTGACTTGGCAAGACAAGTGCTTAAGTTAATTCTGAAGGACTAATATCTAGTAAGAGACTGTACAGGGACCAACAATGGGCCTGGAATTAGACTCCTCAGGCTTTAGTCCCTGCAGTCATGCAGGGCAGATCACAGTCCTGCAGTTTCTCTAAAATGCACTTATTTTCATTAAACATGTCAAGGTCCTCCAGTGAAAAGGACTTCTTTGATTTGATTTGTTTGTACTGTTATGGACCTAAGAGAAGACAGAGATGAACTTTCTATTTTGCCCAAGCAGTCCATAGCAAACAAAGGGTGACAGAGAAAGGAAGGAGAAAAGGAAGGTCATGACCATTTTTTCTGGATGGGCAATGAAACACTAACAAATTGAATCCCTGAGACACATCCTGTAGGTTCATATCAGAACCAGGAGCTTACTCTGCAGTTCACCTCTGGAGCAGGGCTCCAGCCATTCCTCCTGGCAAATACGGCTTTCCGTGAAGCAAAATATTCCTGGATTTCTTAGATCTGTAAAAGCAGCAAGAGACACTTTATAGCATAGAGCTGAGTTAAAGGAAGAGAGATCCACTGTAACATCTCTTCTGTATCCCAGTGGCTGTTGCACACAATGTGTTTCATGACTTCACTAGATATCACCAGTCTCCAGGACAAAGGCTCTTTTCAACACTCCGTTTCTCTGTGTAGGTCTCAAAAGAGTTAGCCTGCCCTGGTAAGAAACAGAATTTCCTCTGCTATGACTCCACTGTCTCAGTGAATAACACAGATCACTACATCCAATTTAAATTGACCAACTGTTGCTTTTCCTATCAAACCACTTTCTTTGCATCCTCAAGATAACCTCTTCAAAAAGAAATCTAAAATAAAGTTGGAACTGCTAAAGTTGCAGGAAGCCAGCTGTTTGCTTATCTAGAATCACAAAACAATTTAGATTGAAAGACATCTCTGAAGGTCATCTGATATAACTCCCGACTTAAAAACAAGGCTAACTTAAAAAGTAAATCAGTCTGCCAAAGGCCTTCATTGGCCAAGTTTTAAAATCTCCAAGGACAGAGATTCTGCACCCTCTCTGGACATTGTTCAGTGTTCAAGTAAGAACAAGCCAATGATACTTCCAAGTGCCCCATCCACTTCCAGTGAAGGAGAGCATGGTATCATTATGGCACTGTGGGGCTAAACAGACAGTGATGGGGCCATGAGACCATAAAGGCATTGTGGGGAGAAGGCAGTACATGGCTTCACAAAACAGCTTTCACTGCTAGTGATGCCAGCAGGGCAAGTCCTGCTGCAGTGCAGCATCCATTCCTGCTGCCCACAGCGTGAGATATGTAAAATCCTTTTTCCTGCAGTGACTTGGCTTTGTTTCTGTGTATCTGGTGTGTAGGCGAGGAGTTCTGCACCTGCACGAAAGCCGTGGGATCCATGACCTTGGCTTGCCTCGCTGGCAGCTTTCCCTCTGCCTCTTGGTGGTGGTAATCATTCTTTTCTTTAGTCTGTGGAAAGGCGTGAAGACTTCGGGAAAGGTAGAGCTAATATTGTCCTTCTATCTCAGCTACATTCTTTGTCTCCTTTAAAAAGTCTCCTAATTTTAGAAAGCAAGAAAGTAAATTACTGATTCTGAGGGATCCTCGGGGACCAAACCATGCAAGAGACCTTCACATATGTACAATGAAAATACATGATCCCAATTCAGCCTTTATTTTATTTGCAAGCTTTGCTTGTGTGATGTTACAAGTGGAAATTTTATTAGCATATTATTTTCAATTCAACAAAAATCTCTGAATTGTGAAAAGTGGTCACATCCAGAAAATATTTTTAAATACTCAAAATTGTCTTAAATGTGCATCCTATTCTTAGCCAAATGTACTAATACTTCAATGGCATTGAATGATTTGGTTTTATTATATAAAATGCCAGGTCAAGAGAAAGACTTGGTCAAAGTCACTTGAAGTTGCTCTTTGACATCCCTCAAAAACCACCTCAAGAGAAATTCTAGGGTTGGATACATCTGAGATCTTTTTGTACATTTTCATGACAGTATCACCTAATATGATGACTGCACTTTTTTAATATATGATACAGAGCTGAGCAGCTCATTCGCAGTCTAACACATATTGGTAATGTTTTCTCTTTGTCAAAACTGCCTCCTACTGGCATCTGTAAACTTATATCTGAAAAGACTCATGATACATAACAGCATTTTCCCCCAAGATGTCCTGTAAAGAGCTTCTCCATCAAACTGAACGGCCAAACCAAGAAAATGCCGGCTGTGCTTATCACACATTCTTAAATCTTCTGTAAGAGCTCATCAGTCTTTGGGATTTCTGTTGTCTGCAGGTTGTTTGGATAACAGCCACTTTGCCTTATGTTGTATTATTTGTCTTACTAATACACGGAATAACCCTCCCTGGTGCATACAATGGAATAAATGCATACCTGCACATAGATTTCAGAAGATTAAAAGAAGCCACAGTAAGTGTACTTTTCTGCTCTCATTCCTTTATTATTAAACCTGCTGCCTTGTTATTAAAACTGAAAATATTACAGCTAACTTCTGAACTTGTATAGCCACACTTCTGCTTCTGCATAAGCACTAGTCCACTGTCTCTGACAGTCTAACTTTCCCACTCTCTCCATAACAGCACTATCTCACACTAAACCCAAACAGTTCAGGTCACAAAACACTTGTCTGAAGGCAGTTATAGGTGTGGCAAACCCTTTAAAAAGTCCATGTTTTGACTGTGCACCCAGTAAATTACAGTATTCTTTATACAAGAAAATGGAGTCATGCAAAAATTTATTTCTCAAAAGGCTAAGAATTCCCTCGAGAAGAAAATCTTGCTATTTTAATCACTAGCTTAATATTAACCTGGTAAACAAAAATTCTGGCCTACGCAAATCTTGCTAAACATATAAAGTCAGGACTAACTCACCTGTTAAACCATGGTCCTTCATAGAAAGGAGATTTGCAAGAGTATGATGTTCTTATCCTGTTATTGAAAGTAATCTACATTTCACTGTATCACTTAACAACATTAACAACATTAAATATATATCCATACCAACTTACTTTGTGGAGTAACTTGGAACTAAGACTTATTTCGTACATTTTAAAGCAAGATCTACAAGTATAGTCACTAACTCATGAATTTACAGGCATTTCAGACCCACAAAAAACGAAGATCTGATGATTACAGAGAGATTTTACCTGTGCTATTCTAAAAAGATCATAGATCATTTATAAGACAGTGATATCTCGATGGATGGGTCACAAGACCATTCAAATGGTTATGAAACTGAAAAGCAATGACATCATTCTCCTAAAAGTAAATGCATCATCTTGAAAATTTGCAGAAGGGTCTGCAGTCTGTCCATAGTTGCACTGTATCTTTCCTGTGAATCCTATCTTGATTTTTCCAGAATAATTAAAAAAGACCTTGAGAGTTAAGAATACAGAGCTATTTTAAATACTTTTAGCAGAACAATACTTCCCTGGCTTTTTAATACTAAATTTGAAAACTGGCATTTCTTCAATAACAGAAGTTTTCACCAGAACCCAGACCCCATCTCACTCTATTTTGGAACAGTAAAACCAAACTTCAGATATGGGACTTTCATCACAAGGCAGTAGCCACTCCAGTAGTTCATACATTTAAATACAAAGATGCAAGGATGAACAAAGGAGGTGATTTAACTTCTCTTATGTATTTTAAGTGCTGTTTGGAAAAAAGCATCACAAGTTCAACTAGATGTCTATGGGGCTGTGCCTGCTTGCACCAGCTCAGGATCTAGGCCCCCATGACCATAGCTGCCCTCTGCTTCTGGAAGGATATTCTGTGCACTGCTCTTTCATAGCTTATTATTTCTGCAGCTGCTATTTAAGTGACCCTAAAGTTACTTGTTGCTAAGACAAAATTTTTCAGACAACAACAACAAAAAGTTGCTCTAGAATAGTGAAAGACTAAAGAGCAGTTATACAGAGAAGTTTCACTAATTGCTTTGCCATGTCAGCCTTTCCCCTCTTGGAGTCTGGGATACCTGCTGCTGCAATAGTCCTGTTTGTTTAATCTTAGTTCTCAGGCTCCAAAGAATAGAATCCCATTTCAGTTCTACGTCAGTGCATCCCTGGATCTGATTTATGATTTTTTTTTTCTTCCAAATGAAAACAAAGAAACATTGTAAGTCACAAAGAGTAATGACATACAGAGGCCTCTGCCAATGCTCTTCTAGAAGACCTTAGAGCACCCAGATCAAGGTCCAGGTGTGCCTCATTTTAGGGAGCCACATCCTGCACAGCACTGAGCAAGCCCCAAGACACCTCAGTTCTCAGGGATATTGAGTCCACAATCGTGTCTCTATAAAAAGGAGAAAAAGAGATTCACCTGAGGATCTTTTAACTAGATCAATGACTACATATATTCCTTGCTGAAAGCCCAAAGTCACAATGCTCATCTGCACTGCACAAATGGATATGTTAAATATCTATGTAAAACAGAACCTGTGTTCTGCTAAAGGGATCAGTGTTAATTAGGGACTTAAGTCAGACGTGGAGGCAACACTCACTCTTTCATTCACCTTAGCAAATATCCTGAAGATTATATAACACCTGGTGATACACACAATGTTTCCTCTCCTCACAGTACAGTAACTTTTTAAATCCACATACACAAGAAAGAATATGCACAAAAGTTAAATGACAAACACTGAAGAAAGCTGGAAAGACTGATGGCTGCCTCCTGTAAAATGCTTATTTTTTTTTCATTTTTCATGCATATAAAAACATACCTACCATAAAATATATTCGACTATGCATCAATCAGATTCAGCTGAAGTAAAAGAGAACATGAGCATCAACAGCAGAACCAGCCCCACTGTCTGCTTCCCATCCTGCTTCGGTAGAACAAAAGGAATGTTTTGCATTTAATCTTAGTTGTAAAGGAATTTCTGGTTTCTTCACCTTGATCTTTCTCAATTTGTTTCCTAATCAGCTACTAAGAGCCAAGACTCTTACTCAACAGACAGGGTGCATAAATCCTTTGGGAGGCAGCAGGTGCTAATGTCTTACTTCAATCAATAGAACTTAAGCACATGCTTAAGGGTGCTTGAATAATAAGAAAGGGGAAGCACAATGAATGCAATTGCACTGGTAAGACACAAAAGAGCTAAAGAACCACAGAAACAAGTGCTTTATGGTGGCATCATGCAGACCTAGTTATGGTTTAAACAAAATTGATGTTAAAAATGTTCAGGAATTTTTTTAACAAAAAGGGTTATCTGAAGTTTTAAAAAAAACAAGAAAAATATAAAGGTTTTGCACCCCTCCTTCTGCATTCTTATCCACAGAAACGCTTTTAAGAGACCACAACCCTATTAGACATCAACCTTTGTGCGAAAATAGGATATTAAGATGTAACTGGTATATAAAAAGAATGAGCAAGGAATTGATGTTACAGGACTGTCTTGCTATTATTGAAAGAAATCCATGATACCTAGAAGTCCTGTATGAACTGCAATTTCTTCTGCAACTCCTCCAGCTAAGTGAGAAAGCTGACGGATAACCTGCCTGGTTCTGTTCACAGCACATCAACTGTGCTTCAGTGTCTGATTCAAGAAAGCATCATATAAAGTCACACAAAGAAAGCTCTATTATGGGAAAGACAACGTCCTGTAACTCTTGACCCATTACCTATTTTTAGTTTTCTGATCGTACATTCCAAACTAACTTGGAACAAGGACTATTGGAAGTTTATTTCTGGTACCCAGGAGAAAAACCATGTAATCGTTTCAGTAGCCAGTAAAATCTCAGAGGTACCACTGTCCACCCCACAGGTAGCAGGGTGCACAGAGCAAGAACTTGCCAGAGGTTAAGCCATTCCAGACCATGACCATGCTCCATGTGACACCTCACTGGGGCTGGAGGCTCTTACACTCCCACAAGCATGAATGCCAATTGTTTTCCAAAAGCCAGTTGCTTTGTACTCGTCTTGCTTTTCTCCTGATGTATCCCTGTGGACTGAACTGACACTGACCATGTTGGTGTTGTTATGCAGGTGTGGATTGATGCAGCTACTCAGATATTTTACTCCTTAGGAGCTGGGTTTGGTGTTTTAATTGCATTTGCCAGTTACAATAAGTTTGACAACAACTGTTACAGGTAAGAGCCTATTCTTTCATTACTACTGCAAAATTATACTGTTTTATTCTGACTGCAGCTGGAATAAGTACTGAGCTATCTTTATCTTCAGTCATTTGTTAATGGCAGTGAGTTTTGCATAGGCATAGCAACCAACCCAAATCTTGTAACACTGTCTTCCTTATTGAAATTTTAGTAACAGGGACCTGCCAAGCTATCTGCTGCACTACAAAAACAGAATGGGATTAGGTCTGGACTTTAGACAGCTGTGTAAACTGTGCTGGTGTTTGCCTTTCAAAAGTACCATTAAGCGCAACAGTGAGCACAGGGTGAAATCTCATTGGTCCAGGAACTAACAGCAGAAAGATTCCAGTTTCCAGAAGTGTTTCTGCGCTTTGGGATTATATTTCTGATATTTCATGTTGAGTTCCAATTTAGGAATGCACTTTAAAATCAAGACAGTTGGTAAGTGCTTTGCTGAATCACCGCCATGGAAATTCAAACAGAACTGCTCTGCACCTTCTGAGAAATTCCAACATTTAGACGTTTTGCTAACATTCCATTTTGGAATGAAAACAAGCATCACTTAAAATTTTCCCGTGAAATATAAATTCAAGAAGTACACGTATTATAAATACATTGTGAACTGAAGGATGGAAAGGAAAAAGAAAAGTTAAAGACAATCCCTATCTAGTCCTTAAAGTGTTTTTGTTTTTTTTCCTCACTGGGCTGTTCCTCTTTCTACAATTAGGGATGCTTTGCTGACTAGTACCATTAACTGTGTCACAAGCTTCATCTCGGGATTTGCAATTTTCTCCATATTGGGGTACATGGCTCATGAGCACAAAGTTAAAATTGAGGATGTAGCTACTGAAGGTAGGAAGTTAATTTCATACTAATTTTACCCCTTTATTTTCCCACCATTTTTTCACAAGTGTGTTTATATTAATATTAGTTCAAATTAACTTGCTTGGAACTAGAACTCTGTCTTTAAATGCCTTGTTGAAATGTGAACTCTAAATGGCTTTGATTTATCTCACCTCTACTGAACTGAGGTTCCCCAAAATCTTACCCCCCCACAAGTGTTGCCTGTGCAACAAACAGGCCTCTGACTGTTTTTGGTGGTTCTGGTAAGCTCAGCTCTCTTGTCCTTTCACTGGTAACTCTCATCACACCCAACAGTTCTCCTGCCAGACAGTGGAGTCCACACCACGTGGTTCCTTCTCCCCCACATTGCTGAAAAATAGCCAGTAAGGTTGTGAATCCCATACAAGGTCATTCAAAGTGGAAAGAATGGCATATATTTTTTTTTATTAGCAACCTATCATGAGTAAATAATTAAAGTATTTTGGATATATTTTTGGTAAAATGCAAATTTTAACAGCTACTCAGAGTGTAATGGGAAGTGAAGTAAAAGTCAACTTACTCATAATTTACCTTATTAAAATGAGCACTTTTGTGACAATAAGAAACATCATTTAATAATACTTTTTTTTCCCCTGTTTTCTATTCCAGGAGCTGGTTTAGTTTTCATCCTGTACCCAGAGGCAATTTCAACTCTTTCAGGATCTACATTTTGGGCTGTGGTGTTCTTCATCATGCTCCTTACTCTTGGCATCGACAGTTCTGTGAGTAATTTTTCTTTCTAGCCTTGGCATTTTTCTTTTACTGTTATATTCCTTAAGTGGAGAGGTATCAACCTTAAGCAGGGGATTACATTTCAAATAAACATTCTGTACATTCCCTGAACCTGTTTTCACAGTCACAGGCAACATAGCAATAGCATTACTCCCAGTATTATATTTAAAGACTCACAATCATTAAGAGATTTAGGAAAATAATCTTTTACAAGCCAGAAAATATTTACTCACTGCTACTTTTTTTACAGTGGGGTTGTTCATCAACAATTATTACTGTTTAAAGTTATAACCCAACAACACTACTATGACTATTACTGCTATGAACCTGCAATAAGGTTTTGGAACCCTGCTTGCAAAACACAGTAAGACATTGAGTAAAGTGGTTTCTAGAAGGGATTTTTATATGTGCTGAAGTCCATCCATCTGCTCAAGACACACAATGTCTGAAGGTAGTCCCATTTTTTAATACAAACAGTGATACAGAATTTCCTGTAAATTTAGTCACAATTTAAAAATCACACCAGAATATTTCAGTGATTTCATTTTACTACAGTCTTGCTGTAAAGTGTCCAGTCAAACAAGTGTATTTGCTCTTTCCATAATGTGCTAAGTTTTACTACACCATGATATGCAGGACCATAGAGACTTCGTCCCACAAAATATTCCAAGCCCCCAAACAACTGTTGTTCTGCTTTGTTCTTGCTAAAGAGGCATCAAGACATCCTGTTATATTTATCTTAAAGGTTGATTAATTTCTGGGAATACCAAATAGGGTCTTTAAGGAATAATGAACCATGAACAAACATTCATCCTCTTTATTAGGGTAGGGGTTTCTTACTATTCCAAAGCATAGAAGTCTCTTTTGTAGTTCTGAATGTACAGAGTTGATCTAGGAATTTCTTGCTGGAAATGGCAAAACAGAGTGTTTCCATTGCTTACAACCTCAGGAAAATTCATTTGTTTTCAAGGGCAAGAAAGGGAAAGAATGAGTTGATAAGGAGAAGAGCAAAACTGAGAAAAATGAGGTTGGAGCAGGAAGCTTTGATATTCATTACAAATAGCTGAATGAGATCTTGTGGAGTGAAGGCTGAGCTCTAAAGGTCAGATTCAAGTCTAAATGTTTCCGAAATGTTTGGATTTTTGGATTCCAGCTCAGGTTCAATGAAGTTTGAACTTTATACACTAAGATCTGAATCCTTATACAAAAGTTAGAGGGAAGATTATATCTGGGTTTGTAGCTTGGCCATTTTTCCACTGTAAGCAAGAATGGAGGATGGAAATGAAGAGTTTAGCACAGTGAAAGAGCAAGAATGACCAGTAGGAAAAGGACAGAACTAAGGAGAAAATAAATGCTCAGAAGTGTTTAGATCCAGAACTGTGAACGTTGCAACAGCAGTAAATTTAAGACAATGTAAAGAAACATTTGAGTGGCAAAGCCACAGCTTGAAATTGCAGAACACACTTTTCCTACAAGTGGAGAAAGGTCTTTCTTGTGGAGCTAATTAAATACTGTGAACTAATGAACTGTGGCCAAGTTTATCTCTTTCTTTCTAAAAGAGGAGGGATTTGTCATCATTTCCCAAGGAAAACTCAGGTCATGCCGTACTATTTATGGTGATCTTCTCAACTCTCCCCCCACATCTGACTGATCAAGTCCCTGAAGGGAAAATTAAAATTTTTAAAGCTAAAAATCAAATAACCCCAAAGCTAGAAAAGAATAATTATACATGACTACTTTTATTCATGCACATAAGCCTCCACTGGCACAGAAATACAAAAAGATTGAATGGTCTGTACAAAAATGGAACTGTCGCAATGCAAGAGAAAGAGAAATCTGACCATGCAAATTTAAACAAGCAGCAGTGAAAAGGGCAGAAAGCAGAACAAATATTTGCAAACATTTTTTGAAGTAGGCATCTAGCTTGTTATAGGGAATTAACAAGGGGAGTAAATTGTGATACATTAAGAAATGGTCCTTTACCAAAATAGTTCAAGCTGTCTCCATTTTCAACTTCTCCAAGACCAATTAAGTGCCAACACAGTAGCAACTTCTGAAGAGATCAAACATTAACCCATCTTAAGTGCAGGGCACCCACTGATGCCCCCTGAGACACTAGGAAATACAAACCTACACAATGTTTTGGGGCATTTTACTTGTAAACATTAGTTACCTTTAAAGAAAAATTGGGTCCACTGCCCCCAGCTCCATGGCTCTAGGTAGGAATTATTCAGATTCTAAACAGACAATTCTCTGCTGCTGATTTCAACCAGAGCTGCTGGTTTCATCAAATTCTTACAGGAGAGGGACAGGCTATGTCAGCACCTACTAACCAGCTATTGTATTGCACCAAGCACTCCAGGTCTTGCCATGGTCTTCTAGTATCACAAAAGTAATGGAATTCAGCCTCTCCAAAATATTAAATGAATTTATTTATTATGACAAAAGACTGAAATTAATTTTCATAGCTTCTTGGTGAGAGGGGGGAAAATGTTTTCATTAATGGAAAGAAATTAAAATTCATAACCACATACATAACCCAGCAATTTCAGTGAAAATTTGGAAAGTACTTTTCCTATGTTGCAAAACAAGGGCTAATGTTCACCATTAACTTCTAGAAAACAAAGTCAAATTCTTTCATGTTGTCAACAAAAAAACATTACATCGAGTTTCCTGTGTAGTAATTCCTCCAAGTGTGTAAAGATTTTCATCAAACTGGAATTGGTTAAATGGCTAAAGTGAATCTTTCTTCAGCACACTTCCTCTAGATGCTTCTTGTGCCTGCCTTTTTATAAGAAATATCTTAAGGAGTTTAGTTACTTAATCTACCAGCTTTTTCTCCAATGTATATTGAAATGTATATTATTTTTCCCAAAGTACTTATTGTCCTGAGTCAGCAAAGAGTCTGCACAGGATATGGCTGTGGAGGCAACAACCATCACACTTGAGTTCCCTGGCACTCTCCTGTGTGAAGAGGAGAGTTAGAAAATTAGGCCTCATAACACCAGTGCTTTGCAGCTGAAATGTCAGAAAGCATAGAGGGGTTGGGTATTAATGATACCAGCTGCTTTACATTCTTTGTCTGAATTTACAACAGTCAGCAGGGTTTAACCAGAGCTCTTGCCTTCCCTCCCTCAGATGGGGGGAATGGAAGCTGTCATCACTGGCTTGGCAGATGATTTCCACATTCTGAAGCAGCACAGGAAGCTCTTCACCTTTGGCGTTTCTTTTGGCACTTTCCTACTTGCCCTTTTTTGCATCACCAATGTAAGTACAACAAAAGTTGCCATCAACATCCTACCTTAAAAATGCAATTAACCTTATCAGATAGAATTATGGATAGGTTCAGGTGACTATTTTTGTTATAAATGTTAGTTCTTTAACTTAAGGTCAGAACAGCACTTTTAATCTCACACACATATATATATACATATATATATATATATATATATGAAGCTTCTCTGGTTTTTGGCACAAGATCACTAGCTATCAACCAAACCAAGTCTTTGTTCCAAAGAGTTGACTGTGCTACGATTGGTTTTGTTTGATTCTGTGTGTTTTGTTTTGTGTTTGTTTGGGGTTTTTTTGTTTGGTTTGGTTTTGCTTTGAACTAAGAATTTCAAGTGACCAGACCCTTCATCATCTGGCTGCTGTCTTCTTGAAGCAAGTAAGAAGCACTCCTTGTTAAAAGAGCGTAGAATAATGATCTTCTCTCACCCCCATGTTTCTTAATGTTCCTTCATGTACCTAGATCTTATTTCTTACTCTGAACACCATAAAAAAAACCACACAGATAACTTATCCTGAACATCTAGTAACTGTGTTTATCACTGCCATCACCCTGAATGATTTGCCTCATCTGGCTTTTGACCACTAATTAAGGAATGAGAATCACAGCGTTCTAGGTTGGAGAGAACTTTCCTTTATTTGAGCAAAAAAGAAAAAGAAAAAAAGACCTGTAAGCAAAGATGCCAAAAGTGTTAGAAAACAACTAAAACTTGAGGTAGCCTCTGTGAAAGCAGATGTGCTGAACCTCTCTCCATCCCTAGAAATGGTTTCCAAATCTATACTAAGACTACTCAAATGGCATAAGTTCATAAATAACAAAGTTCTTCTCACACTAAAAGAATACCCCAATATTTTTACTCTAGTTTCCTCAAACTGAAAAACACTTAAGACACTAAAAGTAGATATATCATGCAAAATACCTATCCTTTTGATACCAAGCTACCTCTATTAATACCTAAAAACTGAACATGCTCCTTTATCTAAGTTTCAACTGAAATAAAATTTCCTGAAGTATGAGATCACAAGAAATTCAGTGTTAAAAGCCTGACCAGGTGCCAGTGGGTGCAATTCCTCTGCCTTCAAGTGAACTAAAGTAGTTCAAGATAACAACCTAGCTCCAGCTTTTAAGCTGTTAAGATTTAAGTTCATCCCTCCAGCTGGAATTCATGAAACTACCCAGACTTGTCCAAATGTATTAGTACACATAACTGAGGAACAACATTTCTAAAGTGTACAAAATAAAAAGAATAACCCGTATGAGACCATCACATGAAATTCACGTTTGATTTTGCCTTCTGAAATGTTAAGGCTGTATATATTCAAAAGCAGCTGTTTCTGAAACAAATATGCTTCTTACAAAATCATATTTGTCATTCACTTTACCAAGTTTGATAGCAAAGACACTCGTTTGGAGCAGGTGTAGAGCAAAAACAAGAGGTCAAACTCAAATGTCATTCAATAAGCAACATTTTCTTTCTAACACAACAAGCAAAGTTCGTTCAGTTTCCGGACAAGTCCCCAGAGAATTAAAAACCTAGACAAGGCCTAAGTACTGGTCTCTCTATTTTTGTAAATATGCACAGCTGTTTCAGAAAAACATCTTTTTATAAGAAAAAAAAAAGGAAAGTGATTGCAAAGATTAAAATCACCTACAAATCTAAATAGTGCAAGTGTTAATTATACCATTAGGGTAAAAACACGTAAAATGATTCCTTTGTTCCTCTCCTTCTGAACAGACATAGTCAGATTATAAAAGAAGATTTTAACAAAAATTTACTGCAACTACAAACATTTCAGTTGTTTCCAAGTGACAAAGAACATCCTGAAACACTTTACCCAGGTTCATTTCAAAACAAGTAAACATAACATGGTCTTCCATTCCTTGTTAGCCCAAACTCAGTAAAATGAGCAAAATACATCAATGACACAAATACACAGCACATTGTAAAACAAGGCAAAAAGTGTTCTAAGACTGCAGATTCACTGGACTACAGAACAAATGGCCAGGAACAAACTGACTTGTGGAAACTTGTAGAGGTCCATTCCTGCCATAAATTTAGGAAGTTCTACATTAACTGCTCTAGACAAGCCCTGCCCAACAAGCTGCTGAATATTTCCCCAAACAGCCAGTGCCTTCAACTCCCACTGAACAGTAGTGTCAAGAGAACTCATTAATCAGGCTAAGCCAAGGCTTCTGTTTCCCAATTAAGTGAGGACATGGATGAAACGAAGCCTCTTTAGGAGAGTTGCAAGTCTGATTCCACTATTTTGCATGCAAATATAAACTCGTGTCTGCAGCAACAGATCCATATTAAAATACTTGGGTTAAGATCATGTTTCAAGTAAAGCAGATTTCTGTTAAGTTGATACTAAACTACCAGGATTGTTCTATCTGTAACTTTGTTTTGTTGCATCTCTGAACTCCCCAATGCCAGGGTGGAATTTATGTTCTCACACTTCTGGACACATTTGCAGCTGGGACTTCAATATTGTTTGCTGTTCTTATGGAGGCAATTGGAGTTTCCTGGTTTTATGGTAAGCACTTCATTTTGCATGTGCTAAGTAAACCTCTTCTAAAATTCCAAGTGCTCATGACAGACTTACACATTGTTTTAAGGGAAAACAGCATAGCCTTGTACACTTGAAACCAAGACAAGTCAGGTTTCATGGAGTGATTTTCACCTGATTCATGAACAGTAGGAATGCAGACTTTGAGTGGGACAAGCTTTGAAACTCTGCACAGAGCCAAACAAATTTGTCTTGTGAAAGAGATTGTGATGGGATGGAGAAGTTACTACTTCTGACAGTATTTAACAACTCTTAAAATTGCTGATGACTTGCAGTAGCAGGTTTATTCCTGGTACTTTCAAAGCAAGTAGATTAACCCAAAGACAGAATCACCTGTTCCCCCTTTTCTTCTTGCCTTGAAGTCTGTATGGAACTTGCTGCCCTGATTCCCAGCAAGATTGTTCTTCCCCTGAAAGTCATCTTCATTTCTATTCAGACGTAGTGTTTATAATGAACATATGATTCAGAAGGTTCTTAGACATCACGATTCTCACTGCCATTTGCCTCCCTCAGTCACTTATTTATCCATCCATTTTGCCTCACCATGTTCTTCTAATCAAACAAGCTTTATCTTGCAGCTAAAAATTATTGAAGAGTGAATGAGGTGAAAGAATGGCATTAATGTATAAAACTGTTCTATCTACTAAAGAAAGAGTTTCTAGCTTTAATGTACTAATTGTGTCACCCAACATCAGCATGGAGCTAGCAGTACATATGCTGTTGTCTCTCAGAATAGTAGAGGCCCTGTATTTCACAGACAACTGTCTTTAATCCCCATAAAAGATCTGAATGCAGAAGGGTGTTCATAGCTTAGCTTGGAAGCAGAGGCTTCCTCAGTTATGAAGGGCAAATTATTTTCTGCTACTAATAAAACAGGATTTACTGCACTTTACAATAGCTAAGCTTTGTATGTGGTTCACAAACTGAACCAAGGTTAGTCAAATTTTATTTTACACCCTCTGTCTTTATCATTCTTTCCTTTCTCCCTCTTGCTTGCCTGTGATGAAGAAAATATCTATTCGTTTTTCTTAGGCACTGACAGATGTTTTTACTGACACAGCATGACCTGTTGCTTTATAAAGAACTTATTACAGCCCCAAGTGCTATTTAAACTGATTAAATCTGGCATGATCTTGTCCACCTCTTTTTTCTGATAGACCCCAGTTGCCTTAATGACCCAGCTGAATATTAAGCCAGCCTGAAGGCAAGCATTGACATTTTGGCACAGACTAAAAACATGGAAATTTAGTTCAAATTTTACCTATGACTACTTACTATGAAGTTTCTCCTTGCAAAGGCCAACTGTGAATGTAAGAGAAGGGAGAACTAGTTTGTTCTGCTATGCAGATGTACTTCAGTTATGTCTGCGAGCTTGTTCCCAATTTTCCTCATGTGCAACCCTGATACTATTTTTCTAATGAATATCCTTAAAAAAAAAAAAAAAAAAAAGCCAGGCAGCTCTCCCACTGGCACAAAACTGCTCTTTGGTTTCAGTTGCAGGAAAATCTTTACTCAATCAGACCTTACTGTGAACACCCACACCCCCCTGAACAACGAGAACAAGCCCAGTACGAGCTCTCAATTATATTCATCCTTATCTGCAACCTCATTGTTTTCAGTTACTTAAATTATTTCTTAAAAAAAAATTCCTCAGATTGAAATTTCAAACCAAAAGCTGAATTTATTTTGAAAAAAAAATCAGAACACCAAAACCGAGAAAAAACCCAACCAACAAACAAACCAACCACCCCAGCCAAAGGTCAGCTGTTTGGTTTTGCAGAAAGGAAAGAACTTAACCAGGCTCTGGCTGCTGATACTCACCTCTGCTCACAGATTGTTTTGTGTGGATGTGTGGCTGGCATGAGAGAGTATGAACGTGCACATTGCCACAAAATGAAAATACAGATGGGGCAAACCAACGTAGAAAGCTTACTGCACTGCCAAGGGGGGGATATGTTTGCTACAGTTCTGCTTGCTTTTACATCAGCACAGTTTGCTTTTACACTAGCACATTCTCTGGGAATGGCACTGGTATGGTTCACTTCCTCCCTGCCACCAGACCAGGTAAATCATATGTATAGCATTAAAGGCAGTATTGAAAATTTTTACTTTCCAAATTAAAAAAAAAAAATAATTCCAAACACATAAAAGAATACTATATATGACATAGCTAAACAAGACAGGAGGGGAAAACAACCCATATGAAGATTGCTTGCAGAGATCCAAACCACTGTTGGAGCTATGCCCTAATTCTTGGAAACATGCCCACAAATTATTTCAGCTACAGCCACTAAGCAGTTTCACCTCAGGGCCAGGACCTGCTCAAGGGCTTCTGTGCAAGTGAGTGGTTCTGAAGCCACTGGCTGAGCCTGTATGGCAGAATAACTTACCAAGTTCTAGCTGGCAGCAGGTGCAGGACTTACTGGTAACACATAGGCTTTCATTCTATCTGAGCTCTGATCTCTGCATCAGGTAAAAGAAGATTGTCCCAATGTGAGGAGGGTAACTTGCTTTTATAGCCATAGAAATCTACTTTTCATTCTCTTACTAATCTGTTGCTTTTTTGTATGTTGATTTAATTCCCTTGACAACACAATATTATGTACAAATTCTGTGCCATTTAATAGACCACGACATAACAGAATGGTGACAATTCTCAGGCAGCTGCAGTGTTTATTAGTTCAGAAATTACACTGAAAGCCTCTTTGGGTTCAGTGTGTTTAACCAGGACCTCCCAATAAATTTTAAGTGTCTTTTACTTAGTTTTCCCTGGAAAAGCACGGAGATTATTTCCATATTCCCCACCAGGTCTCCAGCAAGTAATCTGGAGTTTTGTTTGTGGTCACCTCAGTTTGTTCCTGTAACTAAACATCACCCACAGTTTTTGTTTTTCACATAGAATCACAAAATAACCCGAGTAAATACTTTCAAGAAGTGTAAAAAAACAAGCCCTACAGGTACCATCATCTGTAGCTATAACTATGCTCTGCTTTACAGTTATTTGAAGACCTGTAGTACTGAAAATCCTGGTGTTGGACAGGGCAGTCTGAAAGCATGACCTCCTTGTCCCCCATTTTCAGCAGAAATCAAACACCAAGCACTGTTTGAGCTCTGCTTGCATCAGTCTGGAAACACACAAATAAAATTTTTTTAGATATCTAGTCCTTGTCTTTGACCTTCTACACAGTGATAAATTTCAGTCAGTATTCATAGCAGTTGAAATTCAGTCACTTTAAAGTTCACAAAAAGGCACTGCAAATAGAATCAGATTAAATTTAAAGAGCATTTGCAGATCCTCTTAGCTACTTCTCTTCACCTGTATGTAATATTTGGGCTGGAAAATCAAAGAGACATTTACACTCAAATGTCCAGACCCTGTAAATATTTTGCATCCTTGTTGCATGTAAAGGATTAACTCGAGCTGTCCCAGTTATTTACATTAAATAAATTGTACTGAACTAATCCACATGAAGAGAAACAATCATTATGGAAAATTATACATCCTCTCTAATAAAGAAATATTCATGGCAAAAAGCTGCATTTCTACTGTTTACCTGATGGTGTTCAGGATTGAAAGTAAACTTCTCAAACACATAAAGTATAATAAATTATAAACAAGTAGTCTGACATGACAGAATGCACTAGGGATCTCTGTGAGCCAGCATCTCTGAGGTGTAGAGTCAGAGATTGTTTTGTTCTTAAAGAAAACAGAGAAGGATACTTTCTTCCCCATTTTATGTCGGTGATAATCATCCCATTCTAAAATGATGTAGTTTTGTACATAATTACACTGAACAGAACAAACATTGCCCTAGTTGCTTGGAAAAGTGATAAAATATGAAACTCTATTTGTAATAGATATCATGAAAGTTCCGTGATATTCAGTGAAACACCGAAAGGTTAGTATGCCATTAAGTGGAACATCTCCTTTGTAAATTAAGAATCATATGGATCTACCTCATTATCAGTAAGCAGTTTGTGTGAGCGAGGGTCTAGATTTTCCTTCAGTGTACTCATAATAGCATGGAGTAATTAGGTTACAACAGTCCACAACTATTAAAAAAATTTTGTCCCATTTACAATTTAAATTCTAGATATTTGTCAAATGCCTCTTTTCAATGGTAATGCTTGTCTGCAACAGGCCTGAAGTGCCTTTAAAGGCATTTAAGTCTTGGACACAGTGATGTCAAAGGCTCATCTAGTCACTGAAAGGAGATCAATTTCATATATCTTCTAATTTGGAAGTCATACTTGTCTGCTTTCTGAAAAAGAATATGTTTTGGGTATGCCAGCATCTCATCAGTTTAGATTTACATCAGTCCCATGTTCACATCCATTCTAGGTGTGGACAGATTCAGTGAAGATATCCAACAAATGATGGGCTTCAAACCAGGCCTCTACTGGAGACTGTGCTGGAAATTTGTTAGCCCTGCTTTTTTATTGGTAAGTGTTGAGAAATATTTCATCATGGAAAGAATACTAGTGGTTTGCTTCCCAGAATATACAATAGATACCAAGAGCAGGATACCCATTGCTGTGCCAGATATTGTCGGGAGGAACAGAAGACACTCCAATTTAATTCTTTTCAGTTGCATTGGTCATATTTTGTATAAATACATTTCAGTTATGAAAGAGAAGCTAATTGTGGCTATGGTCTTCTTCTGCTCCTTCATTTTAACGTGATTTTAAGAAAGTAGCTTTTCTTAGGGAACATGGAACACTTATGCAGACACATCCCTGTCCCCCCCCAGTACCTACACATATTGAACACAAACCATTCTGCTGGGTATATAAATTAGCCAGGGATAAGAGACTGTGTTAGCAAGAATGTATTTTTCATTGGAGAATACGAAGATCCCCAAATTGTGGAATGACACCTTAGAAAAACTAATATGTGACTGCACCCAGTAATTAGCTCTGTGAAACACTGAAAAGACATATTAAATATACCTTGTAAGCTATCTATTGTGAATCACAAGTTCATCATTTCATTTGGGAAAAAAAAAAAATCCCAAAGTGTGAATTTGCTTGCTTTGGTTAAAGGTTGGATTCAGCACTAAACTACAGTTTTATACTGGAATCTTTTCCTATGCATATTTTTAAATGAAAGGTCAGGATAATAACATGGAAATTTGACCTCAGTATGATTTTGGGAAACTATTAATTACATTAAAGCTGCGCATTCTTAAAGCAGTACTGGTATTGAAAACATACACTGGGCAGGTTTTTATGCCAGGTCTGCCTTTTTTTTAAATATTAAAGCTTATGACCCCAATTCATCCATAAGCACCTACCCAGCATGTATTAATTATCCTTTTAAAGACAGCTGTACAAAGAAACTTGTATGGAACTATATTATCCTGCAGCACTTCAAGAAGACTGACTTAAGTAGAAAGGAAAAATGCTGCAGCAAGCATCCTTGGGTTTTGCACACAAGGATACACTTAAAAATTTGAATTTTATGAAGAGAGTTGTAGCAATTTAGCTAGAGAATGTTGGAATGTCTGTCAGCCTAACCTTCAGGTAGCTTAAGATTTCTTGGTGAAATGGCCTAAATACCTTCCTAGCAAAGCCTATAAAGGTACTGCATTATCTGCAGTAGATAATGCATCTTTCAGCCATCACAATGTACACTTGTTTTTTGCCGCCTGTAAGTGCTCGAAGCTCTTTCCCCATACTGTCTGCAGCTATGTACATAAACCCAAGAAAAATTTCTAAATGGAAGTAGTATTTTTCTAAGCAGATTTCACACTATCAGCTTCCTTTAACCCACACCATTGGTTTCCTTGTGCAGTCTTTGAAACCCTAGGCTCGAAGTACTCTAATTTGAAATTGCATATATGGAGCAGAATGTATAGACCCAGAGAACCAAATCAAGGTACTCTGCATGTTACATATGGATTTAACAGGAGGGAAGTAGGGTGGCACCCCACTCTTTCCTTCTTGCACCTAGCACTGAACAGGATAGCACAGGAATTAAACAACAACTTTGTTTTCCAGGCCTTGAGGCTGCTTGGCTTTTCCTCAGTAAATGCATCACCCTGGAACTTGCATTATGCCTCTCATTGAAAAATAGGTACAAAGCTTCTAAATGAAGCCTAATGTCACTGGAAAACAGTACATCCTGCAGAGATTTTTCTTGACCACAGAATCCCTTTTTTATGTCTGTAACACTATTTTAAATGAGGCAGTAGCAGACAATCAGCTGATCTTCCCATCAGAACTTCAAATAGTCTGTGTCTAAGGTAACTAAAGCGAGCTGTTAACACTAGTAAGTGCATCAAGAACTTAAGCAGTAAGAGGCACGAAGTAAATAGGCTGAAGGTAAACAGCAGGGCTGGTTTGAAATACACCTTAGTGTGACTGCCTAATAGAACACATGGAAACAGTTTTCCAGTAACTTTCTTCATCCTAAAACTATGGCCTGTGTTATTGTTTCTCCCCCAGTTTGTCGTGATAGTCAGCATAATAAATTTCAAACCTCTGACCTACGACGACTACACCTTCCCTCTCTGGGCAAACCGCATTGGCTGGGGAATAGCATTATCTTCCATGGTGCTTGTGCCTGCCTACATCATCTATAAATTTATGAATGTGCGTGGGACCTTTAAAGAAGTAAGTGGAGCACTAATCAAATGTCATGAAATGTTGCTGTGAAATGAAATGGCTGGATCTAAGTTGGCAGTTTATTTCTCTTACTCCCGAAACTTATTACTTATGAGTGACCTTTTGAATCCGTCCATCAGGCAGATCAGAGTTTTGGGGGAGGATTACTGTGTGCTGGCTGAGTTTCTAGATAGAAATTGGCTTTCCAGACAGCACCATTATAAGTCTGATAAATTATTTTTGATGCCTGTAATTAATCCAATTGATGAGATTAAATTTTGCTTATTAGCAAAAAACGTACAAATTATGGTATCTTCATATTCATCTCTGAGGCATGGTCTTCACACGGTTCTACCTGTTCAGAGTTCAGTCCAAGGTATGTTTTATCACTCTATACTGGAATGTAAACTGTTCTATGTACAAAGTTAATTTAGACTTCTCCTATTTTAGCACTGTAAGAATCTCTAAACGTATATCCACACGCTGGGAGAGTGAGATATGCCCATGAGGTAGCTCTGTGTTCAGGTTGGCCATTTTTCAGTTAATGAGCATCCAGCACAACCAGAAGAAATGCTTACTGGGTCACAGCAACAGATCCATTTAGCCCAGTATTCTCTCTTTAACAGCAACCACATCATATTTTACTTTCTCTGGCAAATATTTATCCTTATCATCTGTTTTACTGGAATTATTTCAACATTCTGAATATCAGAATGCTTGAAGAAACTTAATATTCAGTATAGACCAAGGTGCTGAAATAGATCTGGAAATCAAGAAAATTCTGATATAGGCACCACTTATGTTCTCATCTAGCCTGTTGCTTCTTACCTACTTCAGTAGAAGAGCCAGGGTACCAGACAGAAGCATCTTGCACTACATGAACCCACTTCAAGCATAATGTGCCTACCCTGTGCACTGAATAAAGCAGAAATAGAGGGGAAAAAATTGTGACCATCTTATTCTATTGATTTGCCTAGCAGCAAGAGGATTAACATAGAAAACCTAAATAGTGTTCTTTTAATTTCATTTATATACTTATGTGTAATATTAATGTATTAATTCTATTGAAAAGACCCTCTTTCTATAGGAAAAATGCATCCATATTTCCTTACAGTTCACCCCCTGTACTTTTCTTTATCTGTTCAAGAAGGCACAGGATTAAGGTTCACTAACCATATCATTTTTACCATCATAATTATTTTACCATCACTGTCATAGTAAATTACCTACAGTCTTAAATAGTGCTCAGAAGACTCCTCACTGTTATACAGCATCATTTTTTTTCCCATCACGTCATAATTTTATAACCTAATCTAGACTCCCTGATTTACACCTAATTGCATTGCTTTCCTTTCCTGCAGCTGGAGTTACACAGTGGTGTAGCAAGATACTGACACTCAGGCAAATCACTGAACCATCACCATACAGATAATTAAGCATAAAATAGGATCTCAGCCTTTACATAAATAGGTCACAACCCCCTCACATTGACCTGGCAGACCCAAAGGATCAAAGGTCTTGTTTCTGAAACATTACAGTCACCTTGTTTAATGTTCATCCTCAGAAAGGCAGCCCAAAGTGGGAACCCCTTTTCAGCTGCCCTGCTTTCATCGCCTCTACCATCTCAGTGTTGTACACAATTTCTGGATCTCATTTCCAGCAATTCTATAAGCCCTTTGTTTTGTTCCATTCTGGGGGGTTTACAAACTCATTTTCTAGAAGCATCTAAGTCTCAAAGAATAATTTGTACTGACCCATGAGGTTTTTCCCTGATTGCTGTTTACAGGAGCAGTAATAGACAAACTCAAACAATACAAAATGATAGAATGGTTTTGGCCAAAGATTTCTGCATCCCCCTACCAGTAAACTTGAGCAATCTCCAGTTTTCCCATAAGAACTGCAGCAAAAGCCTAGTATATCACAGCCAAGTAACTATGAAAAGATATGATGCCCTAAATTGTGGCACTTAAAAGTATGGGAAAAGGTATACTCTTATTCTAGTGGGAACTCCCTGAGTTGGTCAAAACTCCCTGATAAACCAAATACTACATATGATCTCAAAGGGCACAGCATGGGGTAGGCAAGGGAATGAGCTGGGAAAAAGCCAGTACCTCCTTCCTCTCCCACTCTGGGACTGGTGAACCCTGTTACAGCACCAACAGAAAAGCGTGAATTTAGGAGATGTAAGGCCTGTGATACCAACTTGTTCCTGATGTTCTTTTCCATATGCACTTGCTAAATATTTGGACTTAGTATTTGCATAAACTTTCTACTGTTGTTTCTTATATTAAAGGCTAACACCCAAGGGCTTATAATAAGCTCATTCTCTCAGTGACTAAGGTAAAGGCACAGGATGCAGTGATATTAAAGATTTAAGTTACCATTTTAAATAAAGTTCATGCTACTTTGCCACTATAGATTGAGGATTACATACATAATCCCACTTCATATGGCTGACTTTTTCCTTTTCTTCCTTTAGAGACTAGCTTACTGCATCACACCTGAAAATGAGCACCAACTCGTGGCACAAGGAAATGTCAGGCAATTTAAGGTTTGTACTCCTTTCACGTGCTTCCTCTCCCGATACCAACCCTTTCCTGTCTTTAGCAACAACTGCAGGTTTGCACCAATGTCCTCATAGTGACTGCCTTTGCAGGTCTGTATTCTTACAGTCTACTAGTCTGTGGTACTGAGGCTCAGTACCACACGCATCATTTTGGGCTGTATTTGAATATACAGAGATCTTGCAGAGAGACAAACATATTTCCAGACTATCATACGCATTTGAACAGGTCATGTCCTCTCACTCAGTTACTGCACAGCACTCTCAAGTCATATTTCCAAAACTGCAGTTACATCCCACAGCACATGGTAAACACCAAAACAAGTATCCAATGTCAGAGCTTACATATAATGGACATGATGAAAAACTGTGCTAGGTTATGTGGAAGCTTTCCCCACAGGCCTGCAGCTGATTGAAAACGCTGCAGGAGACTTCTTAAACCGTGACAAATACACTATAGGTTTCCAAATACTGCTTTCCTTTTAGCAAATAAAATGAGCTTATTGAAATAGACTCTTTTTTGTAGAAGATAAAAAGGATGCAAATATGAAGCTTGTTACACTTATCAGCATTCATGCTGGACCACTTTCTGTCTTCAAAGTTGAAAGCAACCAGAATTATGCACACCTCTGCAAAACGTGACCCTGATTTTGTAGTGGTGGTTTGTATGTTGATATTGAAAAAATAAATCTGCCTTTTGCTTATTCTGAAAAATACTGTTTGAAGTATAATTTTAAAGGAAATAATCCAAGTGTGGATTTATGGGATACAGAATGAAAGCAGGAAGAAAAGGCTTCCTGTTGCATGACCACAATTTATTTGATGTGGCCAAGAATATGTAATAGCACAGCACCTCTTCCTGCCTTCTCCTGTTTCTGCCAGATGATTTACAGTTCCAGCTGTACATAACTCGTTTTTTCCAGAGGCAGATGTTCCTGTGTGAGAGGGCTATAAACAGCCTTTCCTACACAGCACTGGTCATCTGAACCCAAATCTATAATGGCAAAGAGGAAGCAAATTAATTTCATATAAATTTGAAGAGGTTGCCCTCAGAAGTAAACTCCTAATTATACCTCAAACCATGCCAAACACAAGGGCATTTTAATTTGTTGCCATCTTCAATTAACAGCTAAGAAAGGGTTTGCTAGTGCTAAAGCATAGTTAATGTTTTGTTCACAATGTTTAAAACATTTTGTAAACAAAACATTGCCTACCATAACTGAAACAAACATTTTATTCCCATACATGTTCAGCAGTTCCAAATTCTAAAACTGAGCTGAAAGCTGACTAAGCAGCTTTTATATTCAGCATATTTTTCACTGCAAAGTGGAATGCACAGAAATTTAGTTACATAATGGATACCCTATCCTTTATTTTGAAACCGCTTTGTAACTCTAGATTTGTCAACCAATGCATCTCTCACTATCATCATCTGAGTCAAGAAAGTTATTTAACCACTATTTCTGTTTCCTTACAGCTCCAACACTGGCTAACAATATGACAACCAACAGGTCAAGGAAAAAAGCTCACGTGTTAAGCTAAACTGAAAATACGGAAAAGTCAAGTTCAAAGCTCCCTCGATTATGCTTGGCCCAGGCTGGCTCAGAGCTTATCTACTGACTCTTTGAGGGAAGACACCTGCTCTCTGTTGTCAATGCCTCCCTTCTATTACTTGGCTTCAAATGATCTTTAAAGACTTCGTTTAATTTTTCTTGCATCCTTTGGTGCCATGAAATCCCTACATGACCAAAACTTGTGAGTTTTGCTATTGGCAGAAGTGGAGGAGGGGGGAGCAGAGAAAAAAAAAAAAAAAAGCAATCAGCATAAGTTAAATGCTTTTCTTATTGTGAAGAAGTGAATTAAACTTTTCTGACAGTAATAATTACTTCAGACACTCATGCCACAACCTATCATAAACAAACACCACCTGGACATTCTTAGGCCTAAGGAAAGAGTACATCTCAATTATGAGGAAAGAGCAACTTTAACTATGTACTCCTGTCATTAGCTTTCTTGCCATACTATCCTTTGGGATATGAGTTTGCATGCTACTGAAGTGAAGACTCAGTGCTTCATTTTCAGTGGTTTGTTATTAGTTTCTATTCTCGGTGAAGAACCTTGTCCTTGCTGTGTATGTCCATGCCATTTTCTGCCCAGTTTAATTCCACAAGCTGAAGAGTAGCAGGAACAGAATTCCTGTTACAGCTACTAGTACAGAACACAGCTGAATACCACACTGTACTTCATGAAAAATATATTCCCTTCTATCATATGAAATGGCTTTATCATATGATCCATACTCCACAGACTTTTCCAGCTAAGTAGGAAAGTTACATCCAAGTAGACTTTCATCTTTTTTTATATTTTGTTCCAAATAAAGAATGTAAAATATATAGAGATAATAATTTTTAGAACTATATAATTACCCAGTGGCACAAAAATACCAGACTCTGGCTTTATTCTCCTGCTATGAACATGCTGTTATTCTAATTTAACCTGAATTCACCTACCAAATAATAGTAAGATTGCGTTGAATAATTTAAAAGGATATTTTAGGCACACTCAGCTCTCTAATCCTATTCCAGCTCTTCTTTCTAGTAGTATTATGCAAAGTAGAAGATACAGAACAAACTCTGCATTTGGGTGCTGTTCTTATTCTGTGGTCACTTGTCACTGTTGTACCTTTCCAGTGATCACTACATTCGGTAGCTCTGAGTTATTTCTTGTAGTTATTTACCACTAGATCTACAGTAATTTTCAGAGGCCGTAGCTTCTCAGCTGGATCCAACCCAGCATTTACCTCTGGACATTACCTCTGAATTTTTTTGTCTCTATACATTCAATTCAGCTTGTCTTTTAAATGTTATGTAGTGCTTCCTCTTTTTAAAGAGATATTTTTAAAGGATGGGCCTTTTTTATTTATAAAACATTTTTATTGAGTTTTTTCTTTTTTAAAATAGACCAGTTTAAGAGTCCCAAGTGATTTTAGCTTTTTCTGTCTAATATTGATTTCTGTTCAAATACTGAAAGGGAAATTTCTCTCCTTATTGATCCTTTTCCTCCAACATGTTCAATACTCAGAATGTATCAAATACTGTCCTTTTCTTAAAGGATCTCCATGACAAATAGTAGTTTTATTTAAACAGGGGTTTAAATTCAAAGAATATTTTCTTCTAATTATAAACAAAGTCATATTTGCTGGCCCAGCTGCTGGCCAAAGGCTGCTTAAACCCTGTTATTAAATATATTTCAATAATTAAGGAATTCCAAATGTTACGGTTCTAAGGCTGTAAGTACACAACAGGCTAAACAGTGAAAATATGTTGAGGGTTTCAAAAAAAGTCATCCCACCAATTTCACAGTTAATCCCATTTTTATTGTTTGCTGAACTACATGAGAATCTTTTCATTGTTATAAATTTACTTTTCAACAATACAGCTGCTTCAGTCACTGGCTTGGCATGGCTCAAAAGCTTCTTAGCATAGATGTGATTACTAAGTTCTGAAACTCTTGAGGGCTGCTTGACCTGGAGCTTTAATAGTCTGTCATATCACACATTGCTTGCTTCGTTCATGATTGGAAATGCTGAAAACCTGCATTAGTGTTCACTTGTGACACACCCAATCACCCCCATCCATACAGCAAAACCCATGTAGGAAAAGGTACATTTCATCACCACTCTGCTCTGAAATAGGAGCAAAGCTCTCTTAGCATGGGAGGGAAGTCAGCCTTACCCAACATGTTCAGGTTTGATTGTATTTTTAATACCAACTCCCAAGGCAATTAGCTACTACATTATTTTTATTTCTGTTACTGTGTAACTTCTTAGGTTTAGTGTGGTATTTATAGCTCAGGACTCCATTGCACTATTGCCACCTTGTTCTGAAGTTTTGTTGGTAAAGAACTTGCAATCTGTACAGAACACAGAAGTCATATCAGACCAAGCAGGAATCTTGCTGCCATAATTAGCCTGAATGAAAAAGACAATACACAGGGCATGACTGCATACCTAGACTTTAAGTTCAGGATGTTGCCCAAGGAAAGTCTCCCCCAAAATAATGCAACTTCTATCCCAGAGACAAAAGAACAATGTCTTCAGTTCTCCACAGAATAAGATGATGAACTACCTCATGCCTCTTGGATGATAAATGATGCCAATAGACACAGACTATCATCCATTCAAATGACAAATACTTTTGTGAAGTATTTTCTTTACTCCACTCAATGATATGGTACAGACAGTCCAAAAAAGAAGCCATAGCACTGGCACCCACCTCCTCTTAGGGACCTGCTTTGAGCTCCCAAATACATTGTCAATAGGAAAATATCAAATGCCACTAAGTTATTCATCTCCCTTAGTTCACGTTTGTAGTTTAAAAAAAAAAAAAAAAAACCAAAACCAAAAAACACACCACCCAGTCAGGTTCTTATCACCCATGTGGTTTAACTGCAAGTCTTCCTCTAACTGTGTCTTGAATTTTCGGCCCAGCAGCTCACTCCTCCCTCAGCTGTACTTATTACAGGGACAGACCCACTCTGGAGAACGGTGCTCTCCCAGATATCCCTGTGGGATGGCAAGTGAATGCTGGTTGAGTGTGCAGCCTGCTTCCAGAAGAAGAAAATGTTTGGTACAAACTTATTCAAGACACAACATCATCTGCTTGTTAATTGTGTTTGTTGTTTTGGTAACAAGCCAGTGGGAAAAATTCAGTGAAGCAATTAAATAGCTCATTTGGCAGTTCTAGAAAATATTTCCTTAAAAGCCTTTTCTTAATCTGATAAAGGAAGCAGCTGTCATACATTAGCATCTCTCTTCTGACCTTTCTTTCGAGGAGTGAAAAAGACCTGCCTGTGACCCACAGTGTTCCACCAACCCACAGAAACTTAGTTAGCACCAAGGAAAGAGGTCCTCCATTCTCTCTTTGTACCCCTCCCTGCTCTCATTCAGCAAGACAATTCTTCTCATCCTTGGTACTTTTCCAAAGCTACATTACTAAAACTCCACGGTTTTAGATTTCTGGAAGAAACAGTGGCTCTTTCATGCACAATAGTTCAAAAAGCACTAGTGCTATTTAGTGTCTGGCCTCTGTTGGACACATACCTTTTTTGTCAGTCCTTCTCGTTGTTCCATCACATCCTGAGACACACACCCTGGCAACACTTGAAAGACATCTTACCACAGTGAGGGATAATGCAGGATATCCAGGATCAAACGCGATATTTTAAATATAGAATGTAGGAGAAGCACTTGGGTGTTACTATTGTGTGTGTTCCCTGACTGCACGTGCAATGTGTGTCGTATGTCATTTTCCCAGAGGAAATTTCCTATACTTGGTCATTTCTTCTCAGCAAAATACCTTTTGAGTGTTATTATTTAAAAAGGTCAAACCCAAACATTTTGTATATACATTCAACTTTTTATGCTATTGTTTTGACATGAATTAAGTTTATTTTGTACTGTTAGGTTGTAGGAGGCCACATCAAAAGTTCTTTTGCTGTTAATGTCTCTTTTGCAGTTCTTCCAATTCATACAGCATTAAATAGCAGATACTTGTTTTTAGGGGAGTAGATAGCTTTCATTCATATCCTAGGCTGCTTCATTAAGCTCCATGAGGCATTGGCAAATGCTTAAGAATTTCTTTCCAAAGAACCAATTAAAACCATAGATCAGCATTTTCAAAAGAGATAAGACCTAAAGATGTTTTATTTGCAGTGCCCTCTTAAAACATTTTAAAATGAATCTGAAGGACTCAGACATTAGCAAGTTATCACAGTTCAACACACGGCAGTGTATAGCCCACCTGCAAAAATTATGTGTGAACTCTGAGCCTCTCAGAGCAGTAAAATAGGATAATTTTGTTCTAACACACTTTACTAAGAATATTTATGGTCCACAGATCACCTTATGTAAGAACTCAATTTTCTTAATGTAAAGGCAAAGATGATGTTTGAGATTAGACCCTTGAATCACCTGGGAGACTTTTCCAGTCTACCTTCCTCTGACTCACACAATGCTCCTGCTGGTGACTGTGGGCTCACCCCACTAACCAGAGCAAAGTCAAACTGTTAAAGGATGATGCTAAACTGTTTATTCAAGTAAGAAACCAGACCTTGGAGTGACCATACCAGGTTCATATCTATATACAAGCAGAAAGGAGCATATGGACTATTTTAAGCAAAGCTGGCCAGAAATCACCATAAAGGACTGAATCTCTGAGCTGCTTGGACACCTGAGTTATTACAGATCTTCATTTACTACACTGGTACATTACTCTGGTACATGAGAAGGCCAGCCATGTGCTGGCTTCCTTTTGAAGAAAGGTACACAAGTACATGACACTGCAAAACAGTCTGAAAAAAAATTTAGAACTTAACTTATGCAAGCAGTTAAGCTCTGTTACATCTGTGACCTTGCATCACTGAGTTTCAGAAGGGATCATATGCAGGGAATTGTTCTATGTCAAACATCCATGTTTGAGTGTTTCTGTGCCGTGGAAAATAGTTTTTTGTTCAGCCATTTCAGTCTGTTGTAACTCAGACCTCAACTGGAACACTTCACCAAGCACTTGCCCCTCTCTAATCCATATTCTCAAAGAACAGTTTTTGCTGACAACCATCCAAGAGCACTCAGACTGACCAAGCAGGAACATGTGTTCCTATTTGTTCTGCCTGATTAAGTTTAACTGTGGAATGACAAGATTTGTAAAGAGAAACTTTTCCTAGACCAAAAAATTCCAGATTTTTGCACATTGTTCCTAATAAAAATTAATTCAATATAGGACCAGGATCCTCAGCTGGTGATTAATTTGCACAGTGGTACTCTTCACTGCCCAAGACCGAATTCAGATGCATCTACATGCATCAGAGACTACTATAGAGAACTAGGAGGCCAATACAAACATTTCAACCATTAGGAAAACACAGCAGGGTAATTAGAGTTTCATTTAAAAGAAAATTTGCTTAGACAAACTGCAATCACTGTGTGACTGATGGAGCAGAAATAAGCAGAGAAACAGAAGACTACCAGAAGAATATAAGTGACAGATATCGTGGCTGTGGTCAGTGAAAATGTCCTGCTCAGAAGGACATGTGGGTGTCCAGATCCAAGTAGTTTGGCAGAGAAAGGGAGAAACTGAGAGGTTTAAGTCTCAGTCCAGCAGCTCAGCATTCATGTCCATTAACACTGAATTAGTTTCCAGAAGAATTGTGGGCCTTTTCTGCCCAAGCACTGACAGCAAGATTGAGCCACCTGTGCTTTGCTTTCCTCCTTTCTTTCGGTGTTTCTTTAGCTGCCATACTAAACATAAGTTGCTTAATTTCTTTAATAAGGAAAGAGAACAAAAGCAGTGAACTGAGAGAATTACTAAGCCTTAAGTTGGCTCTCTTTTAAAGGTGTCATGTTGTTTCTTGGTCACTGCCAAGAGGCCTCAAACTTGCAGGTGAGCTACATCTGTAATTTACCTTGAATTCTGTGAACCTGTCTGCAAGACTTAACTCTCGTTTGTGATGGGCAATATCAGTTAAAAAGGGAGAACCTCCAAATAGGACATTTGGAAAATAAATTCTAATAGGTGTGATAAAGATTTGCCTTACAAATAAAAGCTTTATAGTGAGCATTTACTTGGTTTACACCAGTGTTTTACTTAATTTTTAATGCCTTTTTATAGCAGTGACTAGAATTTACCTTAGATAAGAGTTCCTCTGTATAGGAACTATTTTAATATTTTTACCAGGTTTTTTTAATTTTCATAGAATATGTGTATATTGTAAGGCGAGAAATTCAACTTTGATGTAACAAGGGTATCACACAAGACCTATCTCTCCATTATAAGATTTTGTAGTCAGCCAGTCTAGTTCCATAACATGTTGGCCTTTGACTATAAATGTAAAAATGTGATAAAGGAGAATAGAATATTACCTACAGCTAATGCACATTGTAGCACAATATTCTCCATTGCTGCCTTAATCTCATAAAATGAACTCATGTGTTTTTAATTTCTATTCCAAAAAAAACCAAAAAATCCAGAGTATCCTTTGGCTGCAGTTTTGTGTTGTTAGATGACTTAAGATCAAACCAAATGTGTTAGTGTCCAGTAGTTCTACTTCCAAAGCAAGAGAACACATCGCAGTTTTCAGGAATAAGTTTTCATAGGAGCTCAAAATTTACCAGTAGTATAAATACTCTCCAAAGTGCCCCAGTGACCAAAAGTGTCCAAACATAGACATGATATGTCCATGCCTGATTCCATGAATTGTGCAATCTGAATCTGCAGGCCCTTTACCTTTACTTCTTTTTTTTGCCTTTTTTTTTTTTTTTTTTAAGTCTTTGGTTATCTGGGGAAATGGCATTCTACAATTTTTTTCTCTTTTTTTTTGTTTTTGTTTTTTTTTTTTTTTCCAAAGGGGGACACCTACATGCCCATGTGTGTAATTAGAAACAAGTACATTTCTTATAAATATGGATATGGATGTGTGTGATGTGTGCTGGTTAACTATACTTAAAATGCTGATAAAGATGGTGAATGTAAAGTATTTGTCCTCATACCTCTGTCTTTCTGTGATCAGTGTAAATAAGAACTGTTTTAAGCTGTGCATTAATGTAACAGATTATCCCAATATTGTGTATAAAATTATTTAAATAAAATCCGACAAATATGCACATAGAAAGAGTATCAAGAAAAGTCTTATGTACCAAAAATTTACTCATGACAGTCAATTAAAAGGCAAAATGAAAGTTCTGCTTGTTGTCAATCCTATTCCCAGCTAAAGCTTCGCAGGGGCAGCTGGTCCTTGGCTCAGCATTGATCTCTCCCCAGAGCTGGAGTGCTTGACTCCCAGGGACAGGCACCTCTGGAGCAGGATCTGAGAGCAGCAGGGAAAGGGCCTCCAGGAGCCAGTCTTGAGCTGACTCTAAACACTGGCAGAAAGCTAAAAGCAAAAACCCAAAAGGGAGGAAACCCACGTAGCTCAACCCTCAGGAGCCCATTGACATCTTTTGGTGTCCAGTGGACACAGTGGGCAGATGGATTTCTACATCTGAACTACCCTCAGGAATGCAACTACAGGAATGCAGTGGGAACCACAGATTGAAAGGAAATAATCAAAACCTGTTAGGAACACGAATCAAAATGCATAGCCCAGCAGATATAATTCCCCAAGGCTACATTGTTTTCCATTTCACAGGTAATGCCTTTTGCCCCATTAATTTTGCCCTAAGTAGTAGTAGTCATAAGCACACCATTCTTAATTTATGGATCAGCCAGGGAAAGGCTCTTATCCAACATGAAGGAAGAATAGGTAACAACGATTATTTTGTATTTTTACACTATAACTTATACCATCTTCTTATATTTCCACACGGAACATCACAAAATTATGAGAAGCACTATTTCCAAAGGTGCATTTTGCTGGGCAATCTCTCTTATCTACATACAAATTTGATCCTCGGCATGTACAGAAGCTAATTGAACTTTCCTCAGTGCTTTTTTTTTTTTTAAGCAGATCTCAATATTATTAAGGCACAGCCATCACTTGTTTATATTCCTCAAGCAAGGAAAAACACGGTTTAAATTATTTTAATACATCTAAAAACTGAATAACGAAATTTTTGGATGTCAGTTTTTAATAATGTCAAACACCTGAACCCACAAATTAGTATTAAAACAATTAAAAGTTAATTCATTTCAAAATGCTTTGAAAGAAACTTCTGTGAAACATTTAATCAATTTCCTGTTCAGCAAAAATCTGTTTACAAAATTTTACCACGACATTCTCCTATCAACCATTTTCACCAAGCTTCAGTCAACTGGCAAGTCTTTGAGACTCAGCATTAGGACATTATTATGGAAGTAAAACTAGGCAGGGATTACTTAAAACAGCGGAATAGTTTTGTCCTCCTGGAAAGAGGAGAAACCAAGTTTCCTATCTGATTTTTGATACCTACATCATCACATCTGATATTCCCCTAATTAACCCCAAAATCCAGAATGTAAGTAACAACCTATTTCAACACCCAAAACAGGAGAGGCAGATTAGGCACTGGGTGCTGTTAGTGGTACCAACAACAGTGTCAGCATCCCTGATTCTTCAGCATCTCAGATTCATACAAGTAAACATGAAATTTCAATTTGCCCTCTTACCTAAGCTAATATTTATAACCTAAGTTAGTTTAAAATGCAGAAGCATAACAAAAAATAATCTTTGAAAAGAAAATTGAAGGCTAGGAAAAGTCAAAACACATCTGATTGTTTTTTATTATAAAACAAATCAACAATGCTGCCAAAAAGTTTAAACATAATACTCTTCTAAATGCGAAGAGAACAAAGAGGGAAATTAAACGATGTGTTTAAAAGTAGCAACTAAAGTAACAAACACTCCTTTAAAAAAGTTCAGAGAAATCAGTTTAGCCTTTTTAAAACAGCACACTGTTATAATTGAAACAGATCCAGAAATGCCTACTTGCATAATCCACCAACGTGTAATTCCAGCAATAAATCAAAAGCAATTCCTAGAGAACAGAAAGGCCCTCCACTTCCTCAGCTGTAAAAACAGTGATAATAAAACTTTATCTCCATAAAGTTTTGAAAGACCTTGGACAGACCAGAGCAATAGCATTACACAAGCCAAGTATTAGAACACTTCAATCCTACAGTTGTTAAACTTTTTAAAGCACAAAACCAACCCCCACAAGAAAAACAAACAAACAAACAAACAAACCCCAGAATGCTGTACCCTCTCCTATATTTTGGAAAGAAATGTGCCTTAATTTTCTTTGACTTCTGCATTGAAGACTTATTTTCAGTTAAGGACTTTAAGTCATTCAAGTGGCAGAAGCCCTTTGCCTTTGAAAGGGTTTGTATTTTACATGGTTCTGAGAGTAACTTGAGCTATCTTTTCTGCCAAAACTCTCTGCTGCTGCCTGCTTCCACATCTCCCACTGCAGCCCTCCCCACTTCTCTCACTCCTATTTTCTTCAGTGCTATTTTCAAGGCTACCTATGAATTTTGTGGGGGTTTTAGTACCCTCCTGAAAGCAACCAAGTGCCTTTATCTTCCCAACATCCTCCTAAAGGCGTGTTATTAGTGGCATTTACAGAAGACCCAGGCAGGCAAAGGTCCAGATCCATAAGACAGATTTTGGAGATGCCTTGTCCCACAATCCCACAAGTCCTCTCCGAGAAGGTTCTACACACACACATACACACTTTCAGGAAGGTTGCTGCCTAACTCAGTACTGTGGATTCCAGTCTGAGAGTCAAGAACTGAAGAACTTTACCTTGGAAAGCCAAGCCCCCCTCACAGGTCCTGCCCTCAAATTTGGCCAGAGTTGCAAAAGAGGGAATTTCTCTCAGAAGGCCGGTGACACACCTGGAAAACCACTGCGTAATACAGTCTGAGAAGAGAAAGGGCAGTCACAGCCCTTCAGCCAGTGCATCACTGCAGCTGTCAAATTATATTCTGTTATTTCTCATTATGCTTCTAGATGCACGCTGAGACAGGAAAAATTAGATCAGGTATCCACCTTTGTAAAGTGCAGTGACTATAAAAGATGAAGCTGAATTTAAAAAAGGACACTGGCCATTTCAATTTTCCCCTTACATCAATATAATCTTTCCCTATGCTATCACAAGTCTCACCATTTCCCATAAAATCATCTTCATACTCTTGCTACAAGATTAATGATTCCTTGGCACAGCAGAACAGTCAGTGCCCACTATGCTCCTTCAGAATATACAGGAATATCAGCATATCATACATTTATAGGCCCAGGCAGCACATACATCCAAATACTCAGTATTTTCCACCACATTATCCTCAATAGCAGAGTATGTTTAGCACAGTTCTCAAATTTCAAAGTAACAGGTCAAAGAACCAATCTTCTGATCTTATAAGAAGCTCATAAGATTTAACTATCCACCTCAGCCAACAACAGAAATCTGGAGCCAGCATGGATCCAGGTAAAGGAGTAATATCATTTGCATGAACATACACCAGTAAATTGCTGAAGGGAACAGGCATTGTATCTTCCACATACACATTTAAAATAAATTGACACAGTCTAGAGCTGCATAAAGTTGATATTTACCAAAAAAAATAATAAACCTTATGCCTTATTCAAGCATAATCTGCACAGCTCCTCTTGCTTCAGACTGAAAAGCATCAGTCATGGGCACATTTACAAACAGAATGTGATGAAATGTTACAGAAATGTACCCTGTAGGTGTCATAACTAAATAAATTATTGTGCTAGATTATATTCAGAATTATTTTTGCAGGGCAATCTTGCTAGACAATTCATTTTCTTCTGACTTAAACACTAAGTTTTACATGTCTTTAAAATACAGAGAAATTCTCGTATTCTCATGGCATTGCCATTCCAAAGACTAGAAACACATAAGGAAAGAAAAGCTGAGGTTTAATATATGGAAGTGCTCCATCCTGGGGGGCCAGATTTGTGTATTCATACAGCTGAAGACAAAGTAAAAAAACACAGAAAATGGAAGGTAAGCCTAGACATTTCCATAGCAAAATTTAACACCTTTTTTTCTTTCAAAACAAAAAATAAATGCACAATAAAATAAACAAATAGAATTTCCAGCTTGGTTACCTTGCACCACAAGCAGAGGTAAAAGAACAAAACCAAAATAGTCACCCTTTAAGAATTAAAAGGGCTTTCCTTTTATTCAATCAGATTAAAAACAAATCAAAGGCAAAAATAAACCAGGTTTGAAGTTTAACCACCAAACAACTTTAGATCAGTCTGCAGGTGTTGGCCCCTTTGGAAACTGCTCTTTCAGCTCTTACAAGACTGAAGACAAATCCTGCTCTGCCCTCACCTAATTTTGGGGAGTGAAACACTCAAAAGGCACAGCTTCTTATGAAATCAGAACAACAGGTAACAACTGAGATGTTCCAGAACATATAGAGACATCGTAAAGTTTCTTGCAGAACTGAAATAACTACAAGTTGCCACAATTTTCAGACAGCAGGACTTTATACCTAACAGCTCCTAAACTAGCCTGAAACCCTGAATTTTTTGGAAGCAAAAACATAAGTGGCTAAGGAAGGACAGCTCCTTATCAAGTATTTCAGCAATTCAGAAGCTTGATGTATCTTGCAAATTAAAGAAACATTGAGTGTGTTTTCAAACATCCAAAGAACTGAAAGAATAACACAAGGAGTCACAAGTAGCAAAATATTTTTTGTTGCTCCATCAATTCACGTTTCAACACAATGGCTAATCATGTTAAGGGAGTTGGTCTCTTGTAAAGTATTTAAAAATCAGTGGATGGTTTTA